TCACTTGAGAAGTGTATTTTATTAGTTTTCTTCACTGATTGACCACAGTTACACCACTACTGAAAACCAAGAAGCATGGGACATCGGTTTCGCTCTGGTATGGGACTCATCAGTAGTGAGCATTCACGACCCTACACATTATTGAACTCAGGACCTTCATATTTTGTAGAAAGCGCGTAACCTCTAAACCAGTGAGTTGGCAATCAATTGTTTATATTTCTCACTTCAGTTGATACGTGGTACTGCACAATTATTTCCTGACGTCATCTAATCCCCAACATGTTTGAACTCCATTGATCACAGCCCTTAGAGCTACATCTTTAAATTAGTCACCAATGAACATATGATTACTATTGGTGATGTAAATGGTTTGTGGAGATTGTTGAACTATTAGTATTAACATTATTAAAGCACACGAGAAAGATAAAATAAATGTTTAATAAATGCCTTATCGTTGTGGAAATTTAATTAATCTTTACAGAAGTATCGCATAAATATTGAGAGTATGTTGAGAGTATATTGAGAGTAAGCTTGGTCAAATTATCATTCAGTAAAATTGAATCAAATGGAAAATAAAGGTTTATAATCGGCTTGTTATAAAAATGACCTCAGGAAACTAAGGCTTCTATATAGAGGTGAAAATCATAGAAAAGATGAAACTTGAATGGTTATCCTTCAGTGAATTAGTTTACATATAGTGTAAGAAAATAGTGAAAGGTTGACCAACCTAAAGTCAGTCCCTCAAGGCATCGAATAAAAGTGGAGTGACCACTTAACTAACATAAATATTATATCCATGGTACAACTCCTTTGTTATGGTAGACATTTAAGCACGTGAGCAACAGAAAATGTGAGTCACCCATATCAAAAGCCGTTTTATACTGTACAATAAATTTTCTCTCCCTTATCGCCATACTGATTGGTTGATCAATTTTATTTTATTTTTGCCTTTATACACTAACCAGACTGACCTATTGAAATGTTAAACCAATGGCAAGTCAGTTATTTTAATCGATATATTATTAATAGACAGCGTTTTGACATCAAAGTATCCGTCAAGTCGTTTAACTGTTGTTTGGACTATTTCCCTACTTGGTTAGTCTTCTTTGGAATATTATAATTACCAACGAATATACGTAAGTTATTCAACTTGTTAATAAGTTTGCCTTTGTTAGATTCTTGAAATGAAGTCTCATTGTCTTGGAGTGTTATTTTAACAATAAAAAAATGACTTGAAATCAATAAAGATAGTTTTGTCAGAGCAAATTATATATTTTCCCGTATGATTGAAAATATAAGATTGTTACTACAACCGCTTTGTTATACAATGTGATGAGAAATGGTTGACTGGAAAGTACAAATTGTTAGATGGTCTCTAGTTGATTCGACCAAACCATTAAATATAAACTTGATTTGAAGATCTATATACATGTAATATAGTTGCGTACAGTTCCGATCAGTGTTTATACGTTTGCATATATTCCCTGCTAGGTATTCGTTCGTAGTTATACTAATGTTAAACTGATTTCCTAAGTATATAGTCAGTTAATAAACCGGTTGTGTAAAAAGCAATTATAAACTAATTAGCCGTCCTAACTAACAACCAGTGGATTTCATCTCTATAAATCCTAGAGACCTACCTCACATAGCATGTTATTCTCTATGGTATGTCAGTGATGTTTACAACTTGTAATTCATTGCTGCTACCCTGTACTTTAGACATTGGATTTTTAGTTTGCCACCAAATACTAAGTGATTTTGAACAAGTCACTTATTACTTATACTATTTGGTCATAGAAAATTATAATTTGTTTTTTCCTAAGCGCCCACTGCTTTTTTCCCCACAGATTACAACATTTTTTAAATGCTACGGTATGTAGTTTGGTAATATTTCCTATTTACACAGTATATTTTTTGTCCTAATGCAAGTATGTAAATGAGTTTGCTACTCTGGTCTTTTTAAGATGTTTTTGTAACTTCTGACATCTCTGAAAATTTTCACACTTCTTAAAAACTGCCCTTCACTATAAACAGTTAAAAGTAGATTAATGATACCAGTACCATTTGTCATTCGTTACGTTCAGTACTTTCTTTGGGTAAAATAGTCTCTGTGTCATTCATCCCTATCGATCTGTTAGTGCATTAATTAGTTGTTTCTTTTCAACTTGGAATAATTTGACCAAAATATACGCGTCACCTAACCACTATTTACAAACATATATAGTGTCTGGATTCATAAAAACAGAATTACCAATCATTTAAATAGCTGTAAATTGATCATACTTAGGGTAAAATCGTACAAGACTGTGTCTGGGGTAAATTTTGTTCAAATATGATCTTGCTAACCATAATTCAGGATTTTTAGTCAAATATTTCAGTGGTAGCTAGGATTGTCTTGTGTTCATTGAGGGTAGTAATCGGTTTATTACTGTCTTTTTTTTTATCGCAATCTATGTATTCAAAAAGCGAGTAATAAATCTATTATTACCCTGGTAATTCAATCTTGATCATTAGTTTTATTTTGTTAATGTTTAGTTTGTTATATTTCTCTTCTATTACGTTTAAACCACCCCCCCCCCTTCACTAATACATTTTCACTCAGCAAATTATGTGAACTCATCAAGTCTTGTTTAATTATTACGCAACCCATCTTACCAGTTTTTTCAATTCCAGGAATCTTTTGCAAACCTTTATTACCTCTAAAATTATCACATAATTTATCTTATATGTCTTTGAACTTCACTCAATTATTACATCCCTCATCCCTCATGTTTTTTTATCTTAACACCAAGTGACCTCCAACCTGTTCTTGCATATATATATATATATATATATATATATATATATATATATATATATATATATATATATATATATATATATGGTTATTATTGATAACCTTTGTCATTCCAATTCTTTACATGCACTTATGTCGATTGTTTCACACTATCTTACCTCAATGTAAAATTTTAATACATATTTGGTTGTAAGCAGCTGATAAGAAACCACGAAATATCATGAGTTCATATTATCCTGCATCCATGTGTTTATCTTCTTTTCAGTATCGATTAAACTACAGTGATTGAAACTCCTTTGATATTTATCTTTTCTGTTTTGTTTCACTGTACTGATGTTTGATATGGCAGCTTAGGCCGGTACATATTTTGCCAGATCATACGTTGTTTATGAGATTTTCCTCGGGTATGTTGTGACTATGGAGTGATCAAGAATGAACTTAGATGTAGGGTACTAGGCAGAGATAACAAGTCGGTTGATTAGGTTGTGAGTCTTCACTGACTGAGATGGCTGCAATATGTATTACTAATGCTCAACCACTACTTATCTCAATGCCTAATATACGCTGGAACAGGTTAAAAAAACTGGAGCAACTAAATGAAAATGTAAGATCAGTTCATGAAATTATTAACTGTTGTACTGATCCATGTTGGCAAGTGGAGAACACCTGGTTGGAGTCTGCACAACTATTTTTTCGAAATTGTTTTATACTTCTAATTCCACGAATTCATTCTTTCTCCTTGAATCATATTGTCTATACCTTATCTTTTTTTATTATCGCTGATAATACCAATTTCATATCGCTATGCCAATGTGGTGTGGCTGCTTATGTTGACGAGAATTTTTACTAGTTCCTACTTTGGTTATGAGAGGCTAACATACATTGCCTTCTAAATACATAGGAAAACATTTTGTCAATAGCCGGATAACCATCAGTTGTCCCATCATTAAAACGTATGGTCCATATTATCATTCAGAATGAACCACATTAATGTTATCGCTAAAAAAATGCAAGTCCGATTATGAAAAATATTTACGTTTTTAAGTACTCACTTTTCATGACTTTAGTTGGAACGAGCAATATATCCTTGAACGATTCTATATCTGTATGTTTGTTTGAATGACTTGGTTCTGATGTTCACTGGTGAGTTGGATATAAGAAATTCACTCTTGTGAATAGATAATATTACTGGAAACTACCAGCTAAATGATCTGTTAGACATTGAAAATTAGTGAAACTTATTATTGAAGTAGAGATTATTTTACTTGAATTGGAATTATTCTTTTTATACAAGTTAAAGCTACTACCTCTCTATTCATATTCAATTTATTATGCATTGAGTTTGGGTCCCGTATTTCTCATTCAGAGATTCTTCTAATATTAAAAGATATCTATGCTAACTGGATAAACTGGACGATTAATGCACAAAACTTCAACGATAGTTTCCAACATGATTGGAAATGAAAGAAGTCTTGTAAGCGTGTGTTGGAAAAAGTTCCAGAAGAATTAAATTCCACTTTATTCAAACTATGTATCGATTAATAATAATTAATAATGACAGAATTTTATCAGCTATTCAAGATTTGTTTTCTAAAAATTGATTTCTCCAAAAATTTAGTTTTTGAGGGTTCCACATTCCTAACGGAACTAAACATACTAAACTTCAAAATGATTGTTGAAAATCACGCGCTCACAAAACGAACTGAATTCGAACTTACATTGAAATTTTGTAACATATCTGTTCACATAACCACTCACAGTATCAGATTGGATATATTTTGGAACACTGATATTTCATAAGACTATCCGGTAAAGTAAACTTATCGGGATTTTATCAGAATGGGTTTTGTGGAGATTTTTTAGAAATTTCATTGGTTGAAATCATGAGTCAATTGATTCTAGACCACCATGGAAAACCTGGAAGCACTGGACGGCCGTTTCGTCCTGATATGGGACTCCTCAGCAGTGCGCATCCACGACCCCGCCCCCCGCGAGATTCGAACCCAGGACCTACTGGTTTCGCGCGCGAGCACTTAACCATTAGACCACTGAGCCGGGATTTTCCAAATCAATTGCCGAAAATATAATTTTATTGAATCTATTTGTAAAAGTATTTTTTAAATTCGTTTGTTGATTGTTTGTGTCATTCGAAATTAAGCTCTTTTTATATCAAATTAAATTAAATTTTGTTTACAGTTGATAAATGAGTAACAACGAAATTTATGAAGATTTTAATGAATGTCTAAAGATAGGAATTCTTCATATTCCGTCTGGGCGATTTCTTACAGCTGAAGTATTTAACAATGAAATTAATATTTCTGGAACAGCATTACGACGACGTCAAGTTTGGTCTTTAATTACGGATCGGAAGAATGCTGATACTTTGTTTTTACAAAATTCATTGGGTCGATTTTTATCAGTTAATAAGGATGGAAAAATAAGTACATCTTTAAAATCAGGTATTCTAGTTATTTTTCCTCTATTTCTTACCCTAATTCATCCATATACATTGTATGCAACGGAATGTTACCTACGAATTGCTACTACCTGAAATCTATATTTATTTCGTTGCTCTGTTCCAAAAAATTGACCTTAATTGGAAATGTTGATCGTTTAACATTAACACGCTCAGTCAGGGGATCTGTAGATCTTGGATCCATGGATTTACGCTTCTGATAGGTCCCGAATTAGGACGAAATAGCTTTTTTGATGATTTCTGATCTCCAGTGGTTCGTCACCTATGAAAATGATGCCGAAATATTTGTTTTCTAAATGTCTTCTACCGTTTTCTATTTTGTTGTGATTCACTTTCTTCCTGTTATGTTAATTGCCACTGGTCACTGGTTAATAAATTTAAAGTCAGATTTATGTTAAAAATTGGTGTTAGCCGACTGAGAGCCTACAGAAATTGGACGGCTATTCTACTCGTTATCATGTGCCCATAATCGTTACAGTCTGTTGGAATGATTAGCCTCTTCAATTATCATATTAGCTTCTTAATTATTAAACTTCATTCAGGTAATCAAATAAGTCACAATTTATTCCATATTGTGGGGTTGTCTTTTCAATTCACACATTTTGAGTTGGCTGTACTCTGATTGGTGAGAAGGTGGTGAAAATTAATTATGAATTAAATAATTATGGATTTCAAATATTTCAGAATTCAATGTATATCTTAAAGCAGTATTGGTTGATCTATCATTGTAAGTGAGGAAATGCAAACATTATGTACTGGTCTGAAATTCTTTAACGATAAATACTTCATCACATACCTCATATGGATGAATGTATCGTCTTCTGATCCCAAGATAGTCAAGCTGACATATTGGAGTGATATAGACATTTTCAGAAGCGGTTTTGTGGAGATTTTAGTAATTTCAATAGTTGAAATCGTGAGTTAATTAAAGCTAGATCACTATGGAAAACCTGGAAGCACTGGACGACCGTTTCATCCTATTATGGGATTCCTGGGTTCGAATCTCGCGTAGGGCGGGATCATGGATGCGCACTACGGGGGAGTTCCACACTAGGACGAAACGGCCGTCCAGTGCTTCCAGGTTTTCCATGGTGGTCTAGTTTCAATTGACTCATGACTTCAACTATTGAAATATAGACATTTATTATCATAAATTACTTTTCAATCCAATAGTCCGAAATTTGTTATTTAAAAGAAAACTTGATAAATAAATGAGATGATTGTTTATTTAAGTTTGTCTGAATAGTTAAATCAAATCAGATAGTTTGGTTAAGTAATTATTCTGTCTGTGATCGACTTTTTCCATATAGGTGTTCTTGCTATTTTCGGGCTTGTTATTCATTGTACTGAGCTAACATAATATCATGCTGTTTATTATTTTCTTTAAAAAATCGCCCTGATTAGATTCATTTTTAACTATTTTGGTTTCAACTGTCAATTTACATTAGATTTAATAAGTTTTCTTAGTTTAAGGGATTTAAGATTCATTAATATGTATTAAATTGATAATAATATGGATTATAGTGTTACGGTGTCAGGTGTTTCAACTGATTTCGTCCCCGAATTAAAAAATAATGATACTTTCTAGTTCCTAATTGCCACCAAATATTTATCGATCAAGGAGATTATATTATGTAGTCACTGAACTAACTATTATTATTATTATTATTATCGTTAGTATTATTATTATTATTATTATTATTATTATTATTATTATTATTATTATTATTACTATTAGTAGTGATTGACTGACGTAACGTAGTCTATTTCATCTCATTTAATATTAATTATCACAATATTCATGATTACAACTTATAATGGGAGCTTGTTTGTTCATGGATTTATTTCTAGTATTTCTAGCTTGGAGAACAAAACACCCTGATGATCTTCATCTTTAGCGATAAATATTCACCATCATGGCAGTTTTTTTCATTCTATTTGTTGAATAGATTTGGAATACTGATGTGTGCGCTTCAGGAAAATCATAATTTTCTACGTAGAATTTAGCACATACGTGCATGGTTTCACAAACTGATCATATCTAAACAAAATACATACTTAATTTGGTTTTCAATGAGTCTTACTGGTACTCATTGTTTATTTCAACTGAAATTATCATTCATTGTTTTTTTTTCTTCTGTAAACTCTTTGTACTGACAATAGTGTTAGCATGTTTTCGGTCATGGTTAACAGCTAAAATATGCCTGTTGAGTAAGGTTAGATATAGTGGAACAGTAGTTCAGTGGTTAAAGTGTTCAGCTTTCAACTACTAAATCACTAGTTCATTTAAATTGGTTCAAGTAACCGTTTGATATGATCAACCTTCAGAATTAGTGTGTGGTTCAAAGCCAAGTGGATAAATTTGTACATGGTGATAAGTTAGGTAATAATATTAATTTATTATTATTATTATTATTATTATTATTATTATTATTATTATTATTATTATTATTATAGATAAAAATTTGATCTCCAAATTTATGTTTTAGTTTGTATCTTGGTTCTGTTAGTATCTATTTCTACTGCAACATTTTTCTTCACGTTTATATTACAACGTATTTTGTCTGCCTAGATTGCGAAGAACGTTTCCGTTTAGAATTTGCACCAGATGGTACAGGTGAATGGGCTTTTAAATCAGATGCATATGGTTTCTATCTCACTGGTACCGATACTCAAGTTTCATGTTTTTCCAAATCTCCTGTCTGGTGGTCATTTCGTTTAGCAACACATCCTCAAGTGAGATTATGTATAACATTTTAAAACTTACTGTGTGAAACTCAGTTGAAGAAATTGGAGATGTGAAAGGTTTGGCTGAACGGTTTAAACACTTATCCTTTAACTACTATGTCAATGGGTTTTCCTACTTAATTTGATTGAACCAAATACAGTTCATGATGTCTCGAGCTTTCATACAAGTGTTCCTCAAAGTCTATTAAATTTATCTGTACTTGATTATTGAATTATACTCTCCAATAGATATGGTTGATATCTCACTGGACGTCATGAAGCATGCATTTTTAGTTTAACAGCCATTTAGCAGGATAAATTCGATCATTAAATTACATATCTATCTGTCCATGGGCAAGTTATGTTGACTCTGTCTTATGCACTAAACTTTCAACTGACAGATCACAAATCTAAATCTCCCTTAACTTATTAAAGTTTGAGTGGACATGTGTACCTCATACTTTAACAAACCTGCACGTGATTACTGAGTTGTATCTAAACAGGAAAAATAGTTAACTCATCAATGACGCGATGAGTAACCAAGTTAACTGATGGTAATTTAAGTTTCCGTGTATGTTTGTCAAGCTTCAGATGACAATTTACTACTGCAACTACTATTTTAGTAATGAGTGGAATATATTTGGTCACTTATATTTTATAATGTCAGCCTCAAGTGAAATGGAGTCTAATTATTCGTTAGTATTTTTATCTTTGATAAATTAAAATGGGTGCTAAACATTTAGACCTCAATAATGAGTGTGATGATAAAATGAAACTTAATTAGTGAGTTTCTCTTTGGTCAATTGTACATATCTTACTATAATCCACATAAACTATAAAATCTGTTTATAGAGAAACTTCCATTTTAAAAGGTGACTGGGTATAGTTCTGTAGGAATCGACAAAACATGAATTCTAAACAGTTTATTTCAGTTTTTAATTGATAAGTTTGTAATATACTCTGATATGAGTTATCTAGACGTTTACTAAACGTCAAACATCTAACTAAACTCAGCTAACTTTTGTGTTGATTATGTTTTCTGTCAAGGTACATATTCGTCACCAGTTCCGTTCACGTTACTTACGTCTTCTTAACGATGGTCTTGAGCTCCGAGCTGATCAACCATACCCATGGGGTCCAGAGTCTGTTATTTGGATTGAACAGCCTACAATGGTTGCAAGTCAAGGTTTTGGTCGTGGTCCAAATATCCCTTTAGTTGGCAAAGCTGCTGTTTCACGTCTTGGTCGTGTTGCCTTCCGAATGCCAAATGGAAAATATTTGAAATCTAATGGAGAAATGTGTAGTGAAATGGATGATTCCACCTTATTTTCTTTTGAATATCGTCCTGGTTAGTTTACTGTACTATTATCATGAAATGATGCTGGTGATATCATATTTCTGGTATAGTAAACTTCATAACTAAACCAACCACACATTATAGAGAACAATGTTATCGTTTAGAAGTTTGTAATAACATAGTATTAAAAAAGCCTCACAGGGTGAGGAATGAGAGGTCATCTTCTCTATAAGTCATTAATCTCATTCAGAATTTAGCTCATAAAATCCAGACTGTGTGCTGCGTAATACATTACTGTTGAATTATTAGTTTGAAATCAAGTTTTTGGTGTTTTTTTCCTTATAAATAATTTAGTCTAAACAGAATATTATAGTTCTTCAATATATTATATTTGAGTTTCTGCCTAAAATGCTGGTTTTGTTCTCATTTTGAAAGGAAATGATAATGTGAATATTGAGTATGATTCGTTAGATTGATTAGTATGAACATCTGATAAACTTGAAGTGTTCGATACGCATTACGAATGAAAGTATTCATCTTCTATTTTTGTAAACCAGTTCCATATACTTTTCTAAGCATAAGTTTTTGATTAAACTATGTATTATTAAGATTTATTTTGAGCATATGTCGATGTAAATCTAATAGATCTAATAGATTATTTTCTAGCAGCAATTATTATTGGTTCTATCCTGTTTTAAACCGAAGCAGGTGGTTTTCTTAGAGGCCCATTCCTTGAGACTTTGACCTAGAGGTCTAATCCAAAAGGCAGTGGAGCAACGTAAGGAAATGCAGTCCCATGGTAGTCGGTGACCAGCAATAGGTTAATACGCCATTTGTTCCTTCAGGATCCTGGAGCCTATGTGCACCATCGGTTTAGAATCGGAAGTTTTCAACTCTAGGTGGATCCTCCATATCCACCAACCTGCTTAAAGCGTTGAACACTTGCTTTTCGCCCTCTCGACTTCTTAAACACCCCCCCCCCGCCGCGAGAAGGCAGCGAGTAGGACTTCCCTGGAAGTGACTGTATAGGTGTGGCCATTTGAGAGCATTTGGAAGGGGAGCGTGCTCTCCCCACCGTTAGCTGTACCAGGGCATTTGGGAGCAACAGAATTACATATAGTTTTGAGTTCACGTTTTAACTAGTAAGATTGTATATTACTTAAAAGTATATTTCTCAAATGAGCGCATAGTATAGCTGAAGTTATCAGCACCTTTTGAGCAATGGATCTTATAAATGTATATTGATGTAGCCCAATGTGTTAGCTTATTATCATTTTCGTGTTAATAAATTAGTTGTATGGAAAAGAACAAAGCTTAAAGATTAATGGGGTAGAAGATTTTCTACCTAATGATTTTGATGACCATTTTTGAGAGGATATTCACATCAATTTCCCATTGAAATGTCAGATCCATCAGTAGAATTTTATTTGAAGGTAGTAAATGAATACTTTCTATAATCATTTCGTATTTTGAATGCATAACACTTCGTCAATCCACATAAGTTGACTCTTTTTGAATACTACCTAAAATTAAACTGAACTATTCAAATAACAAATCAATAGAACATCAATGTGTTATACTGAAGCACCAGCGATTCAGGAATTCGAACTGAATATTAAAGATTCCCATTGTGAAAATTAGAACAACACATATAAGCTTATATGTGTTGTTCTAATTCGAACTGACACTATACATCCAAAAGAAATATTTGCGACCTATATATTTTGTAATCATTACTCCCTTATTATATATTGCATAATATCTTTTTATAAACAATGGAATTATTACTATTTCCTAAATAAATGCTACTCCTTGACTCGAACATATTCTGAAGGTTTCCATACTATTCCCTATTTGTTAACAGGTTTGTAAATATGAAAATGAAGTTGTCGAATAGAAAATTTTCTTCATTTCTACTATTTTTCTTCTTATTTTAATTCAACTAGGCAAATTTAGCTTATTGAGATTAAAATTCAGTTAATAATTTATTGTTCTGTTTTAATCAATAACATTATAAACAGAGATGGATGGTGGGTAGCAACAAAATCTCGAATATGTGTTTCGTCTTATTCGGTACTCGTCAGCTGGATGTAACTGAATAAATAATATAATTTAGTTTAAGTTATTTTATGTACCGATCGTGTAAAAATTCTTTATTTAAAAGTGCATACCATTTGAAATAGACTAACATATTATAGGTTTTGTGTTAGTAGGTTCATTTAACATCCAGTTTTTGTAAATAATAACAACAACAACAACTATAATCTAAATTAATTATTATTTGCATCCCCCCTCAATGTATGAATAAACAATTTTTCATATTTTCCAACCTTCTTTACTCTTCATACTTAGCACCCACTCAATAATATTAATAATTGTAAAAATTGGTATAAACGGTTATAATTGTTTTATAATAAATATAAAGGTGAATAATTTATGCAATGATTACCGTTTTAATAATAAATCTCTAGTTTAAATTCAAGTTCGAACCTGATTATAGTTAGAGGAGATAATTTGCATTTCAGTATGCTATAATATGTCTTTATTTGTATGTGGGTGAATAATATTGAGCAGATATTTCAATAACCCTGTAATCACACTCCATTTTTTTTAAAGATTTATACTCATGATCATGCCCTTAATTCATAAACTAAATGGATAACGCGATAGTGTTTGAAGCAAACGATTCTAGGTTCGAGTTCCAGAGTGAACATCAACTCTGAGATGAAGATACATCCAGCTGACGAGTCCCATATAGGACGAAACGCGCGTCCTGAATTCCACCGCTAGCTACTATCCATTTTTTGCTTATAAAAACTACATTTGTTTTAATATCAGCCAATTTTTGTTGTCATTAATAAAAATGAATCATCATTCATAACCTTAGTATAAATGTTCATCTGGTTCTCATTAGATATCTACTCGGTCATTCATTCATCTTTTATTACTACACTTCATTGTTTATGTACATATGTGTGTGTATGTTTTGGCTAAATGTGGTTTAATTTTCAACAAGAAAATTTTATGTTCTACTTCAGAGATTGCTTTTTCTATTGGGCATTTGGTATTTTTTCTTGTAAAGTTAATTTATAGCATAAATATTGTAGTTTTACAACATTTAATGGCAATAGTGCATTATGATGAAAGTGTACACGTGTTTCAGGCGTTTTTTTTTCTTTCTTATGTCAGTTTTATAAATTACGAGTAATTTGTTGATTTTATCTCTCCGAAAATCATCTGACATGTTCTCTTATTAACTTTTTATTAAAATAAGTATCTAGGTGTTACTGATAGAATCAGTAACAAGTTACATAACAATGATTCTAAGGAAAGTTATTCAACATTTGATTATGGAATAGATTCTATAGGATTCAATGATGTTTGTTATTAACTTCATGTACTATTTGAGGAGTGAACTGTTCACGTTCAAACACAAGTAGTGTATATGAAGTTGTAGAAGCTGTTTTTGTAGGTGTTGAATTGATAATGAAATGTTGAAGATAATCATACGGTGAAAGTGATTTATAATTATTACATTTTACAGTTCAATAGTTGTAAATAAAATGCTTAAAGTCGACTAATTATCTATTTATTTATTTAATTCATATAAAATTTGGTACAAATAGACACCAAAAATAGTATACACCGTTTGAAATAAAATAGGTATATGAGCTGCATTACTGCTAGGGGACCCAAATTGATTCAGGTGGCCTTTTTAAGAGGTCACTTTCCAAAGTACTAAAGTAACATCAGAAGATAGAATCTCATGGTTGCGGATGGCCAAAAGAGGTTCATATGATATTTGTTCCCTTGGGATTTTTCAGCTAATGCTCACTATTAGCTTAAAATCATAATTTACCGACTCCGTATGTATCTTCTGTATCACTTAATCCTATCTAAAATCTAGGAGTCCGGTCGTCGTTTTCTTGCTTTCGTAAGCAACACCCCCGTTATAAGAAAGCAATGAGTTGAACTTCCCTGGCAGATTATTCATTTATGTGAACACATAAATCCTGGTACAAGGGGGCACCAGATGTATATGCCCCACACAAAACAATGAGAATGGGAAGAGAAAAAGAATGTAAGGTGCGTATATGAGAGCAGAAAGGGAAAAAAGAGAACGATAAAGACCACAGATTACTGTATGGCAGTGTAATAACAATAGTAATAAAACTGAGGGAAACGGAAAGGTACAATCAGAAAGAATTCTTTCAGTTAACGAAGTTACAACCACTTTTTATGAAGAAAGTAAAAGAAGGTTACAGCAAGGTCGCCACTGGCTTCTATCCTGAGCCATATCTGATAACCTCTCTAGCCACTGTGTTGCACCATCTCTCAGACCCCAACCAGGGAGTCGTGAAGGACCAACATAAGCCAGTCCTTTGCAGCTTTCTTTCATACACTGACCACCTCCGCTTTTTCCAAACAGTCCCAGAGTCGGAAAACGATGCACGACGTGGAATTGTCTGGGACGACATTTGTAGAACATGTCCAAGCCACCAAAGTCGATGTTTCAAGATGGTGACACCAATTGCATTATCGTCTCTGTGCCCGAACACACGATGCCGAACCTCTGCATTACTAACATGGTGTTGCCACTGGATGTCAGCAATCCTTCGAAGACAACGATGGTCAAACACAGAGAGTCGTCTAACGTCCTCAACTCGGAGAGGCCAGGTTTCACAAGCATAGAGCAAAACTGCTCTCACCAACGCGTTTTAGATCCGACCTTTTGCAGCCAGACTAACATCACGAAGGCGCCAAAGATTGCCCAGATTGGCATAAGCCGCTCTGGCTTTCACTATACGTGCATTGATCTCATCACTCACGCCCCCACCAGCACTTATGCAGCTACCTAGATACACGAACCTTCCGACTACTTCTATCTGCTCACCACCCAGGCTAAGTACAAAATTAGAATCCTACCAGTCTTGTAGAAGTACTTTGCACTTCGAAGGTGCAAAACACATATCGTACCTACGGACACTGATTGCCAACTGAATAAGTGCGGATTGCATGCCTTGGGCATTATCGCACATTAAGACAATGTCATCCTCATACTCAAGGTGGATAAGTCTTTCTGCAGGCAACAGATCCACACCGCCATTACCTACATCCATCAGAGCTGTTTCCTGAATGTCACCGATGGCAAAGTTGGAGAAGAGTGGTAAGATTGGGCAACCCTGTCTAACTCCACTTCATGGATGGAGCAATGGCAGATATCCTAAGTACATGATCGTATGAGAGCATTTTTAAAGAGGGAGAAAGAAAGAGGACTCTTTTCACACGACTGTACTAGGGCATTTCGTGTTAACACTTTTAAAATGCATATTTACAACATATAACCTAGCTTAATCATCCATAAATACATATTGCCACAATTTACAAACAACATTGTATGATGAATTCTATGGGGAATAAAGAAATCTTTATAATCCTGATAATAGTAGTATTGATAAAGGATTAGATTAAAAAACTGGAAGGTAAATTTACATGACAGGCATAATAAGTATTGGATGTCAGTTGCCTGCTACTTGCAGAAAGATAAGATCTGAGTGCTTTAGATAAACTAAAATATCTGACTACCGTATTTAATTGTAACTAAAACGCAATTCAGAAAACTTCAATTTTTCTTTCTAATTAGTCTGGAAGAACTTATACCATTCGTATTTTCTGAAGCCAGAATTTGTTGCATAACTGTTCAGTATGTGGTGTAAAATACATTAACCTAAAAATATTTACTTCTCACACCAGCAGTTTCATACAACTCTTAGATCCTACTAAGACGTATTAGAAAAAGTGACTAAAACAGGTTAATCTAAGATTCACCTCATGAAAAAAGTGGAGTTATGCTAATGGGAAACATATTAGTGTAGCGTTTCTTTAACATAAGTTTCCTCTAATTGAAGAGGAATATTCTTGCAAGGTTTAATTATTCATTGACTATCTTCCTTTATTCCGTAATACAAGAATTAATGAATAACTCACACAATTACGAAAAATAACTTTCCTAGTAAAGCTTATCTCATGTTTTTTTGGGCACTGTAGTTTACGCAATTATCGTAACTAGTGGTTAGAAATGCTAGATGGCATGAATCAGAATTAGTCACGATAGCACAGATACATTCACTTGTCTTTTCTTAGACCTCGAGTTCTAAAAATATTTCTTTTTTTCTATCTCATGAATTCTTCTCGAATTGCATTGTCTTTGTCTAGTGTTTTCAAATATCAATGTTATCGTTGCTACCTGTACTAATATGTCATTTGTGTAGAGAATTTCATCTCATTATACTGATATTGGGGTATGGCGATTCGAGCTGATGCACATCTGTGCCGAGTTATATGCTACTTAAAACTAACTTATTTCATAAGGTTGACCTACACGCCATTCTACTTGTAGGGATCTTGATTTTTGCATTGTACCAGTGTGTCAATTAAATGTACCATAGATAATTTAATATACCACTAGCTTGTTCATTTTTTTAATTTCATTATTTATGTAGGTAATCCTGGCACATTTGCTTTTCGTGATCAAACAGGTCATTATTTGACCACAATCGGACCTGGAACAACTAAAGTAAAAACAAATACAAATATTGGTAAAGAAGAACTCTTTCTAATTGAACATGCTGCTTTACAAGTTGGTATAGTAGCACATAATGGGAAATTCGCATCAGTTAAACAAGGTAAGTTAATTTCTGTTATATGCAGTTCATAATAAACAAGTAGTTTAATAAATATATATTGTGTTGAAACCACGAACTGATATTATCTAAACCGCCATTGAAAACTTGGAAGCATCGGACTCCTCGGAAATAGGAATTCACGACCCCATTACGGGGGATTGGACCTAATTAGATTTTCTGACGTTTCGTGACTTTGTGTCATAATATTCTCATTGTTCCATTGTACTATATAGACTTGGATTAATTTTGATTTAGTTATTTATCCTCTGAAGAAGTGGCTTACACTAAGTCACGAAACGTCGGAAAATCTAATTTTTCTACTCATTGGGATATTACAAATGTATTATTTATTCATAACTATTTATCTTATAATGTTTTTTCCAGCACTGACTAACTACAAGTTTCTTTTAGTTTGTAGCTACTTTATTAATTCGTTTTGTTTTTTGGTAAGCCACTCTTTGTAACAGTATACTGCAATCTTGCATCATTTTGCAGTGATGGCATTATATTTTTTAGATGACCGATTTCATCAATTAATTTACCGCGCTCGTGTCCCACGTAACCTTGAATATATTCTGGTATTATGAATTTGTGTACTCGTTTCATCTGAAATACAAATATGTTTCATTATAAAATTTTATTTCTTACATTCCTATTGCCTTAGGCATCATGTGTTTATGAATCCTTCACAATTATTGTATCTTTAGTGCATTTATTTTTGTGCCTTATCAGCAAACCATACTTTGGATACATATTTTCTTTTTCAATAGTCATTAGTTATGTATTAAAACAAATATTTGATAAAAACATCTTTCTTAATACAGTACAGATTCTTCTGTGAAAATCTGTTTCCTCTTAGCTATTTTCGATCATTACATGATGTCAGTTGAGAGAGCTTTCCTTGTCTATTCATGTTTTTCTTTCGAATATTTCACATTTTATGACTTCTTAATTACCATTATTTGTTATTACTCTTTATTTTCTATACTTACTAGTAACAAAATAATCCGTTAGGATTAAGAAACTGACTATATCATATAGGGAGATATAGGGTTTTAATGTGTATCATATAATGTAATTGTTTTTCTCTCCCTCTTCTTTTTTTCAAGGTATTGAAATTTCTGCAAATCAGCATGAATTAGACGAAACAGCTATTTTTCAGTTGGAATATATTGGTGGGATGGGTTTTAATGCTTTAGAGGCTATAGCATCTAGCCCAGCATCGACTCTATCTGGTCCAGATGGTGGAGTCAGTGACTCTTCTGCTTCTAATTCAAGTTTAATCAATAATAACCATTCCATTACTAATGGTGTTCATTCAGATGTTTACTTTCTAACAACCGGATTTTGGCGTCTACGTTCTCGTAGTGGAAAATTATGGAAACTTGCTTCATCATCTGGTGTTAAGAATACTTCTTCAGATGGGTAAGTTTTTCTGGAGCAACTATTATTTACATATATGGTCTTAGTCGATTCCTCTTTTATTTAAATATCTGGCGTATTGTCATTTTAGTTAGTCGTCCTTACTTTTAACTAATAGTGAATTCATAATTTCTATTTTTAAACTTCTCATTTCAGTCAGTTTCGTAGTCACATTATTAATAATTAAAACCGATTTTTAGCCAACCAGAATGCAGGTGATCTATGTGATAAAATCTAGAATTAAGTTAGAGTTATGGTTTAAAGTTAGGATTAGGAGTTTGGATTATAGTTAGGAAAAGAATCCAACAACCACTATATTAGTTCACCAGTAAGGAGTTTTTTTTACTTACATTAGAATAAGCAGAATGTATGGTGACTAGCAATCTCCATCCTATTTGGGACTCGTCAACCGGATGTACCTACATCCGAGAGTTGACGTCCACTCCAGGACTAGAAACCGGTATCGCCCGCTTCAGATGCCATCACATTATAATCCATTTAACTATTGAGTCGAAATAGCCACTGGTCTTTGGAAGAGGATGAATCTCAATTCCCATATATTAATTGAGATCATGAACCGATCAATGTTGAACCACCATTGAAGACTTGGAACACTGGACGACTGTTTTCTCTTAGTATCAGACTCTTCAGCAGTGCGCATCCGTGATCCCGCGCGCAGGATTCAAACTCAGGACCTTCGGTCTTACGCGCGGACGTCCAACCTCTAAACCACAGGGCGATCATCCAACGATGTTTATGTCAAACTTCAACCAATCCACGATACTGCGCAAACATCCTCCATACTCGGACTAACCGGTCGTCTAGTGCTTCCTGGTTTTCGATAGTGGTCCAACATTGATGGGTTCATGATCTCAATTAAAACTCAACAATCTCCACAACCGTATACTGGTCCTATATATTAGTTGTTTGAATCTTCCGATTGATGTTCGGCATTGTATTTGATTCTGTATTACTGTTTTTAAATCATCTTTCATGTCCTTCTGTTTGTATTTCTAACTGTTGTTGATTTATCTATAGAACTTTAAAATATTTCTACTTGAATCGTTTTATAGCGTATGGAAAAACTTTTAAATTTTTCTTGTGTACCTTTTGTTAATGTATGATGTAGAGAGATATAAAAGCGCTATTATTTACCAAAGACAACTTAGGGAAATTATATTTCCTTTATGACGATACGCATTCGAATTCAATGTTATTCTGTATAATTGATTTGTTTAAGTGAATTATTGACATTTAGATTTATCTGTACTCTCTGTCTCCTCTCTTTTTACTTCTGTTTTATCTTACCTTTTATTCCAAATTAATATTAGAGATCAAGAAAGTTTATTCGAAATGTTAACTGTGAATAAAGTCAATGATAAACAAATTCGTCAAATTGTATTTCGGTCAAATGATGGTGAACAGTCTTTGACAGCTCGTAAACTTGGTGCTGTATCTACAAGTGGTCGTTTAATTGATGAAACTCAGCTACCATCATCAGATGAACTATTTAATATTATTTTAACGAATAGAACATCAATTGTGTTTTTATCTTCATTAACTGGTGGTTTTTTAGTACGTGGTAAACAAAATATTCTTGATTCAAATGGAGTAGCTTATGAACCATTTTACATTCGAGTAACTAAACGGCATACTTATAAATTTTTTGCTCGTAAGTGTGATTTTTTTTCGAATTGAACTACTTTTAATACTGTGTGATCTGTGATATATATATACTTATTGTTAGCAAAATATAGATTAGATTAAAGCATGTTTCGTGCAGGATTGTGTTGGAAGCACGTCGAATGGCTATTTCTTAACCAATCAGCGCTAGTGGAGACTTGGAGAAGTCTCTGGAATCTTATGTATTGATTATAAATATACTGATGTTTTTCTTATTGTGATTCCAACTTCCATCCACCCTTGTTACTTCGGTTATAATTAAGTTCCCGTTCAACCGTGTTCTGGTTTGGGAACTTGTCAAATGAATCTCTGTCCAAGCAATACTAACCAATGAGAGTAGCTGGGTCATAGTAAGAGGAATCATAACACGTATATAAGTTACTTATAAGTTTACGATGTTTGTTATGTTGATGTATTAGCTAATAAGGTTGTTGGACAAATAAAATGGCCTCATTTTAAGAAGTTCATCGGGTCACACGATACGAACAACTATTAGTCATGCTGGTATGCTGGTTAGAATGGTAACCAAGCTAGAGAATTCCATCATTAGTTCAAATAGTGTCGGTTAGTATAGACTTACTGGTTGGAATTTGTCAGATAATCGTAGTCCATGTATGATAAGAGATTTTAGGCCATAGTGACACATTTGTATTCATTTTTTAAACTGCAATAGTGAAGTATAATAATGATTGTATTTTAAAAAGTAATTCGAAATAACTGTCACAGGTTTATAGCATCTTAATCATGCTAAAGAATGTTTACGGTATTCACATACCAAGCATCAACTTTAGTTCTCTCGATCCACTAAGGCGTTTACGCATAAGCAGACTGAATGCAACATAACAAATTTATTGCGTTATTCATCAGAGCTGTGTCGAGACAATTAAAAAAGACCAGAAAATTTAACAGGAGTGAATATATTGTTTCTGAACACCGAGACCAATCCGAAGCCAGTGAATTACCAAAGTCTCACTTGTTCATATCTCTGAGGCTTTAGTAATTCGTAAATTCAGTTATAGTCTCTGAGCTCAGATGTAATTTGTCCAGTCTCCCATTTAACCATAGTTCTAAATCCCCTTTTTACTTTTCTTGTTGTTCTGACGTTTATCTCTCGTGTATTCGTAGAGGGATATTTATGGAGATTTTAGAATTTTAATAACTTTAAATTACAAATTCATCTCAGCTAGACCACCATCGAAAACCTGGAAGCACTAGATGAATATTTTTTCCCAATATGGGACTCCTCAGTAGTGTTCATCCTCAGCCATGCATACGAGAAGCGAACCCAAGACCTTCAGTTTGGCAAGTAAACTCTTTCGTCCATTGAGTAAGCATTCAAAGGTTTTAATGTTTCTATTCATTCATTTCACGATACCGCTCAACCCTGCCTGCAATGAATAACTGTTTCACATCCGACACGAATCGAACTCCACTTGTCACGGCTTCTCACTAGAACTCCCGTAGTTAGATCTTGAAGATAGTCACTGGTAAGTACATAATCCATTGGATATGGGCTCAGTTGTCCAAAGACTAAGCATTCGTGTTCCAGACCGAAAGTTCTGGGTTCGATTCCCTATGGCTGAATCGTAGGTATGTAATATGGAGGAGTCCCATACTAGGAAAAAATAGTCATCCAGCGCTTCCAAGTCTTCAATGTTGGTCTAACTAAGATTAATTCGTGATTTGATCTATTAGAATTCTTCATATTCGTCAAGTGAACAATTATCTTCCACATCTCTCTCCCCCATATATCGTTCCTATTTTATTTCTCTTTTTATTACTCTAATTATTATATAACTTGTATTCAATAATTGAAAATATTTTCCGACTAGATTTTTTGTTTTTGTAACCTTACTAATGACGCAACAACTTTCTACTTTATTATAGACTAGTATGCGATAAAACTAACTTCAAATATAATTGTATGTTTATGAATTTTAAGTCCATCAAATCGGTTTTCGATTCATTTTTTCTGAAAAAAAACTATAAAACTTTTATTATCAGTATGAGGATTTGTGGAGATTGTCATATTTTTACAGTTAGATCCACGAGTCGATCTAAGCTAGACCACCATTGAAAACCTGGAAACACGGGACGGCCGTTTCGTCCTAGTATGGGACTCCTCAGCGGTGCGCATCCATGATCCCGCAAGGGTGACTCGAGCCCAACTTTTATTTAAATTTAAACAATATTCAGCTTCTTGTTGTTGTGGTAGTGGTGGTTCAGTTTTCATAACAATAATATAAGACATGTGCATAGTGCGAATATATTATAGATCTAAATATGATCATCTTCTTAGTCGTTTATGCAATTTTCAATCGTTATGCCGTCAGTGATAGATGCATCCGTTGATTAAATTTATTCTATATTGGTAGGTAGATAGACAGTAAGCAATAATGTAGAAGTACTTCTAAAGTCATCACACTTCTCTACAATTCAAAAAAAAAAAAATCAACTCCAATTGAAAGCACAGAGGAGGTTCCTAGAGATTTTAAAAATTTTTTAGTTAATATTAATTAGACAACGATGAAAAAAACTAAGCAACACTGGGCAACTGTTTCGTACTGGCACGAGATCCCTCAGCAGTGAGGATGTAACACTTCACAGAAGATTAGAACCAGAACGTTTAAGTATCAGAGCAAGCGGTTAACTTTAAAACTACTTAGTCGATATTCAATGGTTAACATATAATACTTCAGTTAAGAGTAATATATCGTGTAAGCTACATAAGAATTGAACATTTTTGACATGGATACTGAGAAAATGAGTTTGAGGTCAGTAAATAATGCCAAAATCGATAAGATATTCATAATTTTTCATGAAAAATAAACAATTAGGAAACCTATGCAAATATGATTGATTTCGTTCCAGATAGTGTCTAGATCATTGAACTATCGATAAATTTATCATAGAAGTGTATATGTTTAATGTAATAGTATTCTCAGTCATATTTATTTATTTTAACAAGAGGTGCGTTACACATAAGAGTTTCTTATCCCTAAACCGATTTTAATATTTTCCGAAATTAATTTATCTAAACTATGCCTCAGATGGCTGTGTGAATTACATGAAGAAATAGTGTCTTTTAAATCTTAAATAATAGGTGAATATGTGTATTGAGTATAACTGCTTCTTGTTTTCTGATTCGTATACAGTTTAATTTCCTGTTTGTACAATGTAAGTCTAATGTTTACAACTAATTGTTCAGTTTCCGCATTATATACATGAGCCGTCGAAGTCTTGTTAGTTAGCGCGGTTTTCTGAACTTCCATAACTTACTAATCATGAATATCTTTAAACATAACAAGATGATAATATCTTTTACGCAACTTGAAAACTAAATTTTCGATCATTTATCACTACTACTAATAATAATACTTAAAATATACCTTTAAAATAGTCAAATAAATTTACTTCATCTTAGAATGCAACATTTATATTGTTATATGATATACAGTTGGTTAGCTGTTTTTATTTAGAATGTGCTTTTCCTAACTATCTACCTCTCATATACTTCAAATAACATTTTATGCGTATAGTTATGGTTGTTTTTTTTTCAAGCTGGTTTTATTCATCATTTTTTCTAAGATTGATAATTATACCCTTGGATAAATAAGTAACTTTTAATGAATTAAGGATAAGAATTGTGTTTCCATGTGATATTTATATTGAACAGTAAACTTCTACTCTGTTATCATTAATCTTATTGAATGAAAATCAGCTATTTAAATTATACTGGTTGAAATCATCAGTCAATTGAAGCTAGACCATCATGGAAAACCTGGAAGCACTGGACAGCCGTATGGGACTCCTCAGCAGTGCGCATCCACGATCCCGCACCCCGCGGGATTCGAACCCAGGACCTACTGGTTTCGCGCGCGTGCACTTGACCATTGGACCACTGAGCCGGCATCCAAGGGTGTTAATGTCTAACTTCAACCAATTCACGAAGTTGGGCCACCGTACACCATTGTCTTCAGTAAGTTCTTATCTCACAATAGACCTGGTTGGACTCCACTGGTAACGACTTCTCACTAGAACTCCAGGAGTGTCTCCTGAAGTCAGTCACTAGTGAGCAAGTGATTATTATTATCAGAATAGGTTTTGTGGAGATTTTTAGAAATTTCACTGGTCTAGATTCAACTGACTCATGATTTCAACCAGTGAAATTTTTAAAAATCTCCACAAAACCCATTCTGATAATATTTAAATTATGTTTGTCTGTTCATGGTCAATTTGCTAGTTGATAACAATACCTCATCAATTTTTCTTGAACAAATAAAGTTTTTCAAATGTTTTTGTCGATTTTTTCTATCCTGTTCTGAAATTGATGTTATAACGCTGGATCAGATATCTTCGATGATTAGTCGTCTTTCATCTTTTTAATAGTTCAATCAAGTACACATTATGTTGAAGTAAGCGGAGTTGGATGTAATTCCATATAACTACTAAATTTTGATTGTAATTACTAGATTACGCCCCTCTTCAATTTTTTCATAATAAACCTGATCAAATCACATGATATAAAACTGTTTTTAGTTAGGTTCCTTGTTTGAAATATGTTATCGCCCACTAAATATATATTCTTGTATTCATATACATAGATTTTGAGAAGTACTGTGGATGTTTAACAGAGTGTTAAACATATTGAACAACTGTTTCCTTCTAATTTGTCTTATTATTTGATTGTCCCTTAACCATTGCTAATCATTTATCTGAACTTTCCTGGATTAAATCTAGACAGAATTCAAGTTTTTTTTTAAAAATCAATATTTGGTAGTTTCTGTACATGTCAATTAATGGATCTGTTTGTCAGAATCTGAACAACACAGCGACAACATTCCCAAATACAATGTTGAATCAATCACACCTCAGATCTATTAATTGTCTGTCTTAAGGTTGGAGGTAAATCTTGAAAAAAATTCCTAGATTCAACAAACAATATTGTAGATTACCTCTGAAAATCTGACGTCCTAGTTATCATCCCAGTTAGAATAGTGATCAGTTTCACTATTTTATCAATAAACTTCTGGACTAGTATACTTTACGACTGTTTACATTGTGCTAGAAATATTTTGTCTGACATTTATTTGTAACTATTGAGTGACTTGATTTTTAAAGTCCAATCTTCTTGTATGATTTTAAATTGGTCAGTCAGTATATCTCCCTGCCTATCTGTCTGATAATTCATATCTTCCTATTCTTTTTCACGTATCGATTCGAAATTTAATAATCATAATGACAATATTATGAAACCAATATTATTTGAGATAGTTCTTTTTAAAGAAACTATCACATTCCAGGTAAGCATATGAACGACTAAGTTTACTAGTAACATATTAGTATCAGGATAAACAGGCATATTGGTAGTAATTCTTCAACAAATCAGTATACAACATGATATTCAAATGTTTTCACCAAACAGTTATATTTCCTTCTATACATTAGATCTTATTACTTGTTTTAAAAATTTTATCTATGTGGATGATGAAATTAAAACACCATTGACTGTCAGCTCAGCGATCTAGGAGTTAAGCGTTTTCATGCGGGACCGAAGGTCTTAGGTTCGAATCCCGGTGACAGGATCATGGATCCTCACTACTCTGAAGAGTCTCATTCTAGGACAGTGCTTTCAGGTTTCCGATCGTAGTCTAAATTAAATCGGTTCATGAGTTCAACGAAAAGTAACGAATTTAATAAGTACATATGGCGCTGAATAAGTTTTCTTCGTTTGTAAATCCAGTAAGATGAATAGTCACTACGTTAGAGTAAAATGATTGTTAGATGTAGGGATTTTAGAACTAGAACTTATATCAAATTGTTTACCTAGACTAACTAAAATAAATGAGTCATTCATTCTACATACACGGAGTAACTCGATAACCTCTGAAATACAATGTTATTTTGAATAAGAGTGAGTAGGTTAGGGAAGAAAGATATAACTTAGATGTAAAAATATCATATAACACATCTCAGCATCGTGCATGCAATGCTGAGTCATTTAGACTAATGCATTTATTGTGACTTAGCTGATAGAATTCAATTATTATTAAAATACTTGACAAACATAACATCGGTTACAGCTTAGTGATTAGTCAATTGTAAATACGCTTCAGTTCTTCGTGAGCCTATTCACATCCTGACTAACCCAGTGGTAACATCACAAACTGTAGGACTGGATAGTGTGTGTTCAGATCTCACGGGGAGAATTACAGGTATACCAAATACCACTAAACTTAAGTCAAGTAGATTCTCACTACCTCATACACGTATTTCATCTTATTTGGGACTTGTCAGGAAAAATATAAATCCATATAGATAAAATTCATACCCGTTCCACATGTTGGTGACGTTTGGACTTAGCAGCTCAATGGATACATCTTTGAAGTTTAAGGAGAAATATATTGAGTTCTAGTCTCATTGTGAACATTAACACAAATGAAGAAGGTAGATCCAACTAACAACTCTTAAGTGGGACGAAACATGCGTCCTGGATTCTGCTACTAATTAATATCCAACTACTGACTGGTTTTAACTGCCTTCACTTTATAATTCATTTGCACACAATTCCCATTCCCTTATTTGGTTGGATAATATGTATTATTTTACTGTCAGGTTCCATACCACCCTCGTCTCACCGAACAATAACGCTCTGTTACGTCCTTGATCTGTCTACCCACCAATATACAGAAGATAACTTGTCTCAATGTAGATTAAGACCTTGACATGATAGGTTAGCTGCCTTAACGTTGAGGCTAGAAACGTGTGAGTTCAAATTTGACTAACTGCCTTGGGTAAAGAGGCAAAAATTATCCTGTCACCTGTTTGGTTGACAAACGCACAAGAGAGAATTAAGTGAAATAACTTCCCCAACAATAGCTTCCGTTGTTTGCCTTAGCTTCTTTGTTTCTCTTATCACATCATGTTTCATACAATATATGTAACATATCATATAGTATCATAGGAAGAATTTCTATATTGTTTTTAAAAAATAATTTTCTTCTTTTAAGGTAATCCAAATTCAACATATTCCATATGGGCAGCTAGTTTAGATGGTACATTACAACTTGAACCTACACATCAAACTCCTACTGATGATGAAAACAATAAAGACACTGAAGACACTATTAATAATGATTTGAAATATGAATTTCAACTTCATTTCCTTGGTCATAGTCGAGTGCTTATTCAATCATTGAATAGTCAACGTGGTAATTCAATTTCTTTAGTCAAATCTGAAGTTAAAGGTGATGTAAAATTAGATATACCAAGTGGTGGTGGTGGTAATATAACAATCAATTATATTTGGGAAATTTAAATCAATAAACAAACTAATCAATTTTTCTTTTCTTATTTTGCAAGAAATATTTATTGATTTATTTATATCTATCAATTATGATAATTAAAAATGATCATGGAATTTTTTTTATATATATCAGCAACATCATTATATAGAAAACAAAAGTAATTTTCTTTCATTCCGTCTGGAACAACAACGTTAACAAACGATGGATATTGATTGGGTTATGTCATTGTATTTTTCTTCTACATGTACTACTACTACTACTACTACTTTAGATATGCTTTTCAGTAGTAGATTCTATCTACTAAGTAAAAGTTTCTTGAAAGACTTCGTATATGCATATTTGTGTTTTCATCATTTGTAACACGGGTCGTGAAGAGAAGAGAGCTGGGAGTAGAACTGTTCTCATATGTTTGAATTTCTTTTTTCACATTACATTCAGACACTTTGTTTGTTTTGTGTGTTGGCATTTACATCTACAATAATTTCGATCATGTTCTCTTCCTTTCTAAGAGGTAATTTAAAAAAACATAACCCTAAACGTATTAACTGTAAATTTTTTGGGGGGTTTGTGTGTTCTGTGATGACTTCTTATTGCTTTTACAGTTGAAAAATAAAATATTAATTATGAATATTACTTACTTACGCCTGTTACTCCTCGTGAAAGAACATAGGGCGCTCACCAGCATTCTCCATCCAACCCTGTACTGGGCAATCCTTTCCAGCTCCTTTCAGTTCTTATTCATCCTTAACATATCTGCTTTTATTTCCCGACGTAATGTGTTCTTTGGCCTTCCACTTTTCCGCTTCCATTCGAGATCCCAAGTTAGGGCTTGCCTCGTGATGCTGTTTGATGATTTGCGTAATGTATGTCCTATCCATTTCCATCGTCTTTTCCTAATTTCCTCTTCATCTAGAAGCTGGTTTTTTCTCTCCCACAAAAGGCTGCTGCTGATGGTATCCGATCAACGAATGTTGAGTATCCTGCATAGACAGCTATTTATAAATACTTGTACCTTCTTAATGGTGGTTGTAGTAGTTCTCCAAGTTTCGTGTCCGTACAGTAGAACTGCCTTGACGTTCGTATTGAAGATTCTGACTTTGATATTGGTCTGCATCACATCCTTATTGTTCATCGATGATGCTTCCCAGGTATGTGAAGGATTCTACATCTTCCAGAGTTTCGCCATCAAGAGTGATTGGATTGCTGTTCTCCGCCTTGAATTTGAGGACCTTGGTTTTCCCCTTATGTATGTTGAGGCCTACTGATGCAGAGACTGCTGCCACAGTGGCTGTCCTTATCTGCATTTGTTCGTGTGTATGCGATAGGAGGGCTAGGTCATCTGGAAAGTCCATATTGTCTAATTGGTTCTGAGCTGTCCATTGTATTCCGTGCTCCTCCTCAGATGTCGAGGTCTTCATAATCCAGTCGACCACCAGAAGAAAGAGGAAGGAAGAGAGTAGACAGCCTTGTCTGACTCCGGTCCTTACCTGAAATGCATCTGTCAGCTGTCCTCCATGCACTACTTTGCACTGTATTCCGTCGTATGAGTTCTGAATAATGTTGACAATCTTCCCAGGAACTCCATAGTGTCGAAGAAGATTCCATGATGTCCCCCTATCCACACTGTCAAATGCCTTTTCATAATCAATGAAGTTGATGTATTGTGACGAGTTCCACTCAATTGATTGTTCGACGATGATCCGTGGTGTCGCAATTTGGTCTGTGCACGATCGATCCTTACGGAATCCAGCCTGTTGATCTCGAAGTTGGACGTCTACTGCATGTTTCATCCGGTTCAGCGAAACTCTGTTAAAGACTTTTCCTGGTACTCCGTCTGTAGCTCTTCCAGAGATACTGCCGATCCCATGCCCGGGTAAAGGAGGAGGGTTGGGCATGGGGTTAGCGTTCCCATCCCGTAGAAAACTAACTCGCTAAAATTATTCAATTATGAATATACACTTTTTAAATATCATTCCATTGTGTTGACAAAATCTTTGGTAGGAAAAATCCATGTAGATATATTTGTAACTTTCCAAATCAGACTATTACGCATGGCTTATAGGTTTTCATTGTGGTTTCAAGGTATGAATTACTACTTTCTGTAATTTGTTTTATTACGTAATATCTGATAGGTTAGGTTTAGATATGTATGTTTGTACTGGTACTTCTATTTGTGAGTTTGTAGCGTGGTGTCGAGTTGAGATTAACTGTGAACACCGCTACCCAGAAACACGTGCCAGACAAATCAGAAGGCGAGGATCGATCGTAACCAGATTTATTTCGTTGGCGATCTCGTGGTATTGAACGAATACCGAGATCGTGCCAAGGAATGGTACAAGTGGAAGCAGAAGACAGGAGTACGTGCGAACAGTACCAAAAGCCGCGGAACAATAATGGAAGGTAATGGAAGCACAAAATGGCTATAATTAACACAGTTAAACAAAAGCACATTAAAACAAACACTGGTACAGTTGGTTATAATAATAATTGTTTTTATTAAACCAGTCGTGTTCTCGTGATAAACGTGAGTCACTACAGGAGCCCCCCGCTAGAAAGGGTTAACACTTTCGATAAATGGCGGTTTAAATCGTGGGACTGATCGGCTGACGAGCGATTGTAGGACGGAAGAATTGGCGAACAGGAAAGCAATCGTTGATCGTCGAGTCGCCAACGAAGGTCGTTTTCGGAGAGCGGTACCAGGAGCGATGTGCTGTATTTGCTGTTTGACTTGGTATGCTACACCAGAGTGGTTTGTATCCAGAAGCTGAAGATGGCGTTCGTAGGGAAAGCGGACCAGGAACGCTGCAGTCGTAGGACGAAACCACGTTGAGCCAAAAGACCAGAAGCGACCGTAACGACCAAGTTCGAGACCAAGCGTACGCCAAGCATTCGAAACCAATATATCGACTGAGTACGTTGACAAGAGCGTGGGTGGCCAATCCAGCTTTCGCCAAAGTTGACTGAAGTCGACGGAACCAAACGGAGATGGTCGAAGGCGTGGGCTCAGGAAACAAAAAGAAAATCAAAAAAGAGAGGAGTGTAGCATGCAAGTAGCATAGGAGTATTCCTACACCGTATCGGTTGTTGACTGTGCGACTAATCGAGGAAGCGTACGGGTAACCGTACTCGGCGACCGGAACGTGAGACGATAGTCTCGTTCGCGTCGCGTGAGCCTGCAATCTCATCCGAAGTCAAGGGCGGCGTGGTCTGCTGATCTGGACGTGAGACTGTCGTCTCGTCCGTAGACGGTGCAGATGACGCGTGCTGTTGACTGGGACGTGAGAGTGAGGTCTCAGTTGTATCTAGCGTGGGACCTGAAGATGGTTTGAGGATCCCGCTAGTAGGTTTACTTGGTCTAGCATTGAATCTCAGGTTATCAGATAGGGCACTGTCATCGACGTGTGCTGGTTTGAGACGGTCAATGCTGACGATCTCGACGCGGCCGTGTCGATCAACCTTGAAGGTCTTTTCGTGACGAGCGATCACGCGAAAAGGGCCTTCGTAAGGTTGTTGCAAAGGTTTGCGTACCGAATCTACTCGTACAAAAACATGTGAACAGGTAGATAACTCTCGAAGGAGAGCGACCTGTCGATGTTGTATTCGAGTTGACACCGGAGACAGCGTTCGCATAAATGCAGACAGTCGATGGACGTAGTCTGATTTACCGAAATTAGGTCTGCTCCGTGGTGTGAAGAATTCTCCGGGCAGACGCAATGTCGTGCCGTATACAAGTTCAGTGGCGGAACATTGGATATCTGCCTTTAAACTCGTTCTCACCCCTAAAAGAACGAATGGTAAGGTTTCGTGCCAGTTACCGTTTTCGTGTGCTCGTAGAACACTTTTAAGTTGGCAGTGAAACCGTTCAACTTAACCATTTGGTGCTGGGTGGTAGACGGATATGCTTATGCGTATGCATTCCGTACCAAGCAGCCGGGTCAGCGAGGAGAATCGTTAATAGGGTAACATTTCTCGAATAAAGCGTGGAATTCATCATCACGCGAATAAAAAGTGACAAGGATTCGGTACACATACGTGTGAGTCTATTATATTAATACTATTCTTATCGTTATCCGTCATGTCGCGTATATTATATATTAAAAAATATGAAAATATACGACAGACGTGGATAGATAAACCATAGACTCACCGAATTGGCTTCTTTGGAAGATTTGATCAGAAGTTGAGGCGTGTTCCAAACTTTGGGATCACCAATTGTATTTGAATTGGGATTACCAATTGTAGCGTGGCGTCGAGTTGAGATTAACTATGAACGCCGCTACCAAGAAACACGTGCCAAGCGAATCAGAAGGCGTAAGAAGCTCGTTCCAAATGACTCCATAAAATCCCCGAGAAGCCGAATATCAGAAGACAGTTAATGGACCAAGTCGAGGTTTATTAGCTGGCGATCTCGTGGCATCGAAAGGATACCGAGATCGTGCCAGGATACAACCTTGGTTACAGAAGGTAACCGAATTCGCGCGCAGTTACAATCAAAGTGTAAGTATAAGAATGGAAGCACAAAATGGCTATAATTAGCACAGTTAAACAAAAGCACATTAAAACAAACACTGGTACAGTTGGTTATAATAATAATTGTTTTTATTAAACCAGTCGTGTTCTCGTGATAAACGTGAGTCACTACAAGTTATTTAGGTTTCTTAACAGTTGTGCTCCAGAAGGACCAGTGCTTTGTATTTTACTTTATAAATGCGAAAAATGATCATCAAATCAAGTATTATGTTGAGGTTTCTGTTGTACGTGACGTTGAAGACTGACAGTAGCTTCACTGCATAGGTAGGTCAAGACGATAAACGTTGGTTTCGCCTGTCTACTTTATTTGAATGACTACAGTGGGAATCGAGGTTTATAAGTGATCTTTTGAAAACTGTTTTTAAAGATACGTGAGTTTGTTCATCGTTTCTTGCTCTTATGGTTGCTTATCTCATTGCATCGGTAAGGATTTCAATATCGTTATGCAAAACTACTAAGTATTTCATAATATTTTTGGACTGTCTTTGGTGGTAGAATACAGAGCACACACATTTCGATTAACTTAAGGTTCATCGACACATGTACTTAAACAGTCCATATTCTATCGAAAGCTAATCTAATTCAGTCGTTAACGTCAACAACGCGGAAGAACAAGTCATTACAACGTATGATAACTGAATAAATCCCGAAAAAATAATTTTAGCTGAGTTCCGAAAAGTACCTGATTTGTTTGGAAGTTTCAAAACCGTTGAATGCTAGTATATTTCTTATATTTTTATCACTCTAAGTTTTTCTTGAAATAAGTTTCCATAAGGATCCAGATGTTATCATTTAAGTATGTATTTCTTGAATAAATTTATACTTAGAGGG